TGCCAGAGGTAACTAGTTTACTGTATTGCATACTGACTAAAACGTAGCTAGGAAGAAATCAAAATAAATTTTTTTTAATCCTAATTATATTAATGATATATAATTTCCAGTTCATTTAGCCATGTGTTTTGCAAGCTTTTAAGCCCAATGGTAGTCTAAACATCAGAATTGTACAGTGACTGCATTTCTGTAAGAGAAGTAAATACGTATTTAAAAAAGCACAGAAAATATCACAAAATGGTGTCTACTATAGAGAGAAAGAAAAACTCTGACATTTTTATCGTTTGGTGTTTTAAATATAAATACTAGGGTAATTTCACTGTGCATTCGAATGAAATGACGGTGTGAGCTAAAGGAAAACACACTGCCTTGAGAATTATTTATCAGGCTACTGATATTCGAAAAGCCTTTTCTGAAATTTAAAGTACATTAACTAGTTTTTTACCCCAGTAACTCTACCCCATTTTTTCCTCACATGGATATTCTTGGCCTACAATGCATAATCAGACGGTAGAACATGCCATCCTTCATGGCTGGACTGGCTTTCTGGAGGATCTTCATTGCATATCTGCTGCATGGTGAAGGCTTCATGAAGATCTCAAATCAGAGGCATGAAATTCAGGAAGCCTAAAACCATAATGTTTTATCTACATTTCAGTGCTATGCTCCAATAGGTTTACTATTCACCTTCACTCCACTTTCAGGTTGGTGTAAATATAAGCATATTTTACACTTAACAGGCAATTCATTCACGTCTCTCCAAATAGAGTCGTTTGTTTTGTACTGGAGACAATGGAATGTCCTCTTATGCCCATTGTGACAATCATGCATACCCATTTGAAAAGACCTTTTTAGGTCTCTACCCTCTCCTCAGGAGGAATAGTGCCATTACACAGCTCTTCTTGTGCTTTGTGAAGGTCAGCTCCACAAAATTAAATTAGAAATCCCACTTCCCATTCTTTTTATTATGCAGTCATCCATACGATTCATATGCTCACCAGGGATAACAAATTTTACACAGGGAAGCCATAATGTCTACCACTGTAAAGTAAGATTGGAGACTGGTAATATCTGGGCACACTGGAAGCTAACAGTTCAGTAGTTTGTCATTTTATGTAGTAGATTCTGACTAAAAAGAAGCTGAGGACTTTAGTCCAGTTCCTCCTAACTGCACTGAAAAGGCATCTTTTCTATAGTATCATCCTGTGCACCATTTTAGTGAAAAATGATTTTCAAAGCAGGGAGGAGGATTAACGATGCAGAGCTGTCAACCCAAAAGAGAATCCCTTAAGTAGGGGCACCATCTACAGGGGAACAGACTGACACTGACTCAGGTCTGTCCTTGCGTTACACAGCTGACTTCTGTGCAAGGCACATGTGGGTTGGTTTGATTACATTTGAACAGCCTCTCATAAAAGAGTATTTCTGTTTTCATTTTCATTTATGCTGCCACATTGTCCAAGAGCCCTGGGCACAGAGCAGGAACATTCTGTGTCAGCTGCTATGCAAATGCAGATTAAAAGAGACCATCTCTGCCTAAACAACTTAGAAGAAGCAGCAGATATGTACAGATCAAACAGAGGAAAACAAATCAAATGACACATTGAGACACACATCAGTCAGGAGACTAACAAGTTCTTTGATTTTACCCTTTGATTTTTAGCTAGAATTAAAACTAGAACAAAACACCAACATTTGTTCTCTACTCCCTCAATCTAACTCACAATCTCACACATTGCTCCAAAAATTATCTTCAAAGACTTATTTCATATGATGCTTTCGTTGTGTGCAGCTGAATAGTTACTCCAGTACTTATTCATTTTACTGAAGGTTAATTCTCACTTCTGGGTCTTAGATGCCTCACTTTGCTTTCACGTCTTTCATGTTCTCCTGATGCAGATTTGGCTTCTTGACTGGGGATGTGCCTTCTATCATCATAGAAGTGCACATATATACCGAGTATCATCATCATCATCCAGTATATATTATGAAAATTTCATGGAAAGCAAGAGTGGGAAAACAGGGAACTAAAATGGGTGGTTCCTAGTTTTTAATTTTCAGCTGTATATACCAGCCCTTGGATTCCCAACCAAATGGGAAAAAATACCAGAATACTCTAGAGCAGGCATTTCATTTACTAAAAGAAGTTTCAGAAATGTGTTCTTGAACTCATACAATCAGAGCTTCATTTGATAAGCTGTCCCATTTCTCTAAGCAAAAGCCAGTTTCTTTGTCTGCAGGCATACAGACTACTCTCAAAAAGAAAAACTTGAAGATAGAAAAGACCAAAACAAAGGAAAAATAGGAGTAAAATAACATGACAGTGAAGAACAAAGTAAAAGCATCTTTCTGTTAAAATAGGTACCTTGTGCATTACAAGGCCAGTGAATAATTTCAGCATGACAGTCACAGTTCAATCGCTGTTAGTTTACTGTTCTGGGCTCTGCCTGATAAGTAAATTAGCATGCTGCCAGTACAATTTACTCATTCACCTACCCCTGATTTACACTCATGATTTACCTGATTTCCTGTCTTGTACTTCTAATTGTGGCAGTTGTGATACTTGGTCACACAAAGGCTGAGGTACAAAAGAAAACAAAAACTGATGGCAGCTTGGGTCCAAAGCCAGAGCCCTGATGGCTGATTTTGATGTGCTACAACTGCTGTTGCTCCTGAATTTGCCTCAGTGACTGTCATTCTACTATCTGCTCTTCATATTCCGTAAAGCTTGCTGGGACAGGCCCGAGAATATTTTGGTTCATTGGCTTTGGCTCAGGCTTTCTCCATTTTTATGGAGCAAGCAGGAGTCTTTTACTTTCAAAACCTAGTTTTTATGGCTCATATTGCTTTCTCATCTTGAGGTTTTACCTTGAAGCCACAGTATACGGAGAGTAAAAATAAATACAGCAAAGACAAACACTGCATCATTTCTGGTCTTGCTTTTTTAGTCAGTTTCTTCCCAGATGCTCCTGTAACTCCAACTCAGTCAAAGTCTAAATTAAAAAAAAGGGATATGAAGGATATAACAGACTCTAGTTCTTCATTTGTACTTAATGGGATTCCTGATGGAACTTCTGAATGGCAGACATTATTTAAAACTCCCTTCTGATGCAGAAATACTCATTACAAAACCAAAACAAAACTGGTCTTGGGTTTATAATATAATTTCTTCTGGATTTGCATGTTTCTTCTTCTTTTTCTTACGATAGGATACCTCTGAACAAAACTGTGGAAGACATAACAATAATAATAATATATACAATGATGTGTGTTTAGTGGCTAGCATTTTGGCTAGCACTCCAAGCATTCACCAAATAGCTCCTGAGCTTTTCTTGTCCGTTCAGAACATGTTGTCATCCCTCAAGTTTCACAGCTTGCTTTGGTTTAATTAACATCATTACTGGACAGTAACTACCCACTTACTTGAGGATACATTATTGAAATAAAACTTGCTTACAGGACTGGAGACCTCTTTCTGTATGAATAAGCTTTTGGACCCAAAAGGAACTGAAGGAAGTATATGTGATAGAAGTAATGACTCTTTTGCAGCAATTTCACCATTGCAAACTACCAAACTCAAAAAAGATTTGGTGAAATCTCTCCCACCAACATCCCAGCCCCTATCACACCTTTGTTTTTGTTTACTTTTTTAATCTAGCAGAATAATCATGTAGGGACTACCACAGTCAGAGAGTGAGAAAGTAATGATATACTCTTCAAGGCTAGTGCTGGATGGCATTTATTTTCCTTGCTATATTGTCTATATACTAAAAGAGGGCTATGGGGCTTAAATGATGTTTCTTGTCTTTGCTCAAATACTGAGACAGGATATGATGTGTCATGCCTTGCGAATGCCAGACTCCCACAGACTTCTGGCTGTGTGGCTGTTAAGAACACAGCATCAAGTCCTCGTAACTATTAGTACTGAAATGTGTGTGGGGTTTTTAACTGACCAGATAAATGATCCTAGATAAAACAGTTCTTGATATCTATTGTACTGGAAGAGAGAAAACAGCCACATTTTTAAATCTGTATACAGAGTAATCTGGGTGCAGGTGACTACCTCTGCATATGCAGTTTACATTATGGTGGCTCCTCCTTTTTGTAGGTTAGCAGGAGCTAATACTTGCTCTTCTTTTCACTTTTCCCTTTCATGATCTAATGTGCCCATACGAGAAAAAAACTCATACTATGATTAACAGACCTAGGAATGCATGTCCAGCACTGACATGATCAGACAAATGTGTATTTGAACTGAACTGGAAAAGGGCTGGGATTTTTTGAGGCAAATCCCACCACAAAAGTACAGGTGGGGAACGGCAGGAGGATGTTGTGTGCCAGGCATAGAAAGGCACTTACAGGATGTGCCTGAGGGCTTCTTAACTTTCCCAGTTACCTGCTAATGATGAGGTACGGCTCTTCACTGCCAGCATTTGCTATTTATCGTATTAGGATGTAATTTAGATAACTTTCACTCTCGTGTACTAAATGAAACCAACTAAATGGCTGTGGAATACATTACTACTTTCTCAAGTTTTCTCAGAATGACTATTTCCACAGGATCTACTACTGCACATCAAGGGGTAGAGCCTTTATGTTCAGTCCCCTGCCTGTGACCAATTAAAGGCTATAGGAAACTCTTACATAAATACCACACTATTAGTTATACAATTTTGCAGATAAAATGATGTTTTCCTCCTGTGCCTCTGAGCATATAGATGGAACAATAATATATGCTGAGGAACAAAGAACTTCAGTCCGTTGTGTTTTTAAAAGCTAAGCTTACATCTAAATCTACTTCCATTTCCCTCTGGAACTGGAACAGCTTTTTATGTCATATTAAACATTAGACAAATAGGGTAGATCTAATTAAAAGTTGAAGAAATGTGCTTCCCTTAATTGAATTTGTTACAGTTACATTTTGCAGACCAATGTTAATCAAAGCGGCAGTTCAGAGTGGATGGATCAAGGGAATTAAGTTAACCTTTGCATGTCCTTACCTGAACACGCGATAAGGTCTGCTCTCGCCTAAGCCACAGACGCCAATCACGACTCACCGCTCAGTCGCGACTGCCCGGCGCCGGTTGCCCATGGGCCCGCCGCAGCGGGAGGGCCCGAATCGCCCTCTCGCTCGCTCACTACCGAGCGGCGGGGGGCAGCGGCAGAGCCTGGCCAAGATCGGTACCCCCTCCGCTCCCCTCCGCACTGGCGGTGCGGGGCACCGAGCTCGCCCGACGGCCTCTGGGTCTGTGGCTCGGCGGCCCCGCGGCGGGAGGCAGCCCTGGCCGCCATGCGCGGGGATGCCCTCATCCTTATCATCATCACCATCCCCATCATCATTATCATCATCCCCCTTCTCCTCCTCCTCCTCCTCCCCGCCCGCCGCTGCCCGGCCCCGCCCGACGGGGCGGACAGGGACCGCACGGCCGCGGGATGGGATGGGCGAGGCCGGCGCGGCGGCTCCACCCATGCTGTGCGCCGGCCGATTGGCTGCCGGAGCCCGTCTCCCCGCCCCCCAACCAATGAGGGCGGCGGGCCGGGGGTGATGGGCTGCCTCTCGCGGGAGGGATTCCTGGAGACGCTGCAGTGTGGCGGCGCTCCGGGCGCCGCGCAGCCCCCGTACCGTCTCCGCCGCTCCTTGCCCAGCCCAGCCCAGCCCAGCCCAGCCCAGCCCAGCCCAGCCCGCCGGCGGCCGCTGCAACTTACCGTCGTGCGCGCCGCCCGCCGAGCGCAGGGACCCGGGGCAGCCCTCCTGCCACGCACCCCGCCGGGCACCGCAGCCTCTCCCCGGGAGGGGCCCGTGCGCTCTCGGTGCCGCCGCGGGGGGAGGCTGAAGGACAAGCCGGCTGCGCCCGCTCGGGTTGCCAGGTAAGGCAGCGCTCCGGAGCCGCGCCCGGGCGGCGTCGCCTCGGGCGGAGATTGGGGGTTCTCCGGGCAGGGAGGAAGGGGGGCGGCCGTTGCGCGGGCGGGGGCAGAGCACATGCTCCGGGGGCGGCCGGCGGCACCGCCTGCCCGGGGCTCTGCCCGCGGGTGCGGGGGACGGGAGCCCGCCCCCAGGGCGCTCCCGGCGGGCGGGGGGATAACGGGGGGGGGGTGTGTGGTTCAGACAAAGAGGGTGCCCGCCCTTCTGACAGCCCCCCACCTTTTGCCGCGGTCACCCCCCTCTGCGGGAGCGGGGCGCCGTCCGCCCGCCCGCCCGCCCGCCTGCTCTCCTGCTTTGCCTCCATCCCTCCCTTCTTCCCCGCCGCTGCCCGAAGCCTTCGCCGGGGCGGCTGCCGGGCCAACTTGTTTCTCCGGGTTTCACCTGGCCGCCACCGCCTGGGCAGGGTCCCGGCAGGGCACGGCGGTGTGTCGACTCCCGGGCGCTGACCCCCCCTCCTGCCCGCAGGGCAGCATCTTCTCATCTGTTCTTCAGTTTACTGAAAGCCTTTCCTGCATTACTGAGGAAGGCTGCCGAGCTAAAGCATATTCTTTCCGTGCAGTTTAACGTGTCCTCCGGCGTTATTTGCTTTGCCTTATTTAGTTCCACTTGCCTTGCTTTGATTTTTGGATACGTTATGGTCTTGTTCTATGCCCCCACAGGGTATGGGTAGGGGATCAGTGCTCTGTTTAAAAGTTAATTTTGCCTATCAAACTCTACTAGGTGGCATAGTAAGAAAGTGGAGAAGAATGTTAATATTTCTTTTGTTCCCAGTCTTCTGAAATAGAGATATCAAACGACTAGCAGCTTCTGGTAGTGAGTATAGGAAGTAAATTAAATGTAGTCATTGGAATGAGCCTTTATGGCACTTTCAACAATCTGTAATTCAGTCATCTCTGATACAAGCTGCCTTTTGCTATTATTCATCAGACCCGGCTGAGTGATTTCTGTCAGATCGGAAGTGGTAGAGAGAAATCTCTAGGTAAATGTAACTGAAAAGCTTTCCAAGTGGAGTCCTAAATGAGCACAGAATAGCGTTTGGCCACAACCTCGAGACAGATGTTAGCATCTGAATAAATCATTCCTTTTGACTATCTGGGGGATGTCAAGTCTGATTTTCCTTATTTAATAGCCATTTGTGGGTGAAGAAGAAAGATCTCTATGTTTATTACCTCATAAATTCAATGCAGAAGGCTGTAGTGCAATCATATTTCACTGTCTCTGAAATAATACATTCTGTACAAAGGTCAGTGGAGTAATTTTAGATACACATACGTGTTGTAGACCACAACTAGACTACTAATCAGCAATGGTGATATTGATCCTCTGAGCGGCTATGCAGCGTGCCATCCGGGTTGTGTGTTAATCTGTTACGTGCTGTCTAAACTGCTTTATTGTCCGAGAGAGTTACTTCATCCTCAGAAACAGAAGATGATAGTTGCAGACCCAGGAGGGGACTCCTTCCCCTGTGTGGATTGACGTCTAGAGTTACAGATGAGCAATTGTTTCAGGAGTGACCCTGAAAAGCGGAGGGGGAGCTTTTTGGTACAAGGACAAGTAGGCAGCAAACTAATTTTCTTTGTGAGGATATGAAATGACATCTGCCATGCTTAAATAAACCCGCTCAGAAAAGTGTAAGGAGATTCCACGTGTGTCTAGAATAGTATTTGGTTGTATGTTTTGGAAACAAATGACCTGATTTTACGTCTTAGGAGTCAAATACATATCTTTTTTCCTTGAAGCTTTTTGAAATCGTAGCTCTATTAGTAGTGTCTTTAATGTGGTCCATCACTTGGCTTGTGGTATAGTTGCTCAGAATTTACATGCATGCAATTCATAAATTGAAACTATATAGCTTAAAAATGTAGTGTAGGCAGCTTGAGTGAGAAGAGATAATTTAAAAAGGAACCACGGGGCAGAAGATAATGACATACTGTAGAAAATAATCATACTCCTGCACTTGCAAAAGCATGAAATGTTCTAGTGTAGCCATTTCATACAAGCCCAATTTTCCTTCACATTAAGAGTGTCTAAGTGAGCCTTATTAATGTTTGATGCAAAAGATGCGAAATCCATTTTAAGGGTTGATGCTGGAATTTAAAGAGGTAGCTCACAGACTAGCAGAACAGTGCTATAACACTTCCCCAGAACAAATGTGGAAAATAATAATTTACCGAGTATGCCATTGCAGCACAAGTGGGATGTAGCCTTCTCTGTAACACTGACAGGCAAGAAGCACTTTAAACCCATAGATACAAAGCAGTGTTTGATTTAACAACCTGAAACATTCTCTTGCCTTAATTGTAACTTAAATCGGATGTAAGAGAGGAGGTGTTTAGCGTTGGTTGGTGTCGTAGTTGAGAAGGTGCGAGATAAAGGAAGGTTCTGTTTGTCAGAAAGGTATGAAAAAAATCTATACTTTTCCAGCTAGCAGAGAGAGACCGGAAACATAAAATCAATTTTTATGGTCTTTTGGCAGGTTTGGCTGTAATAAGTAAGAAAAAGGAGCAGCTTAGGGTCTTGGCAGAAGTTTTTAAGCCACTCGGCTGTACAGAACTCAGTTAATTGATGTTTCCTCACATGAAAATTAAGCTCTTATTTAGTATATTGTAGTCTTTTCTTGCCCATTCAGCAGTCTGATTGCAGTTTTAAAAATACTTATGTGTGAATGTCTGTGGTTTTATATTTATACACACATTTAAACACACAGATCAAGTCTTACTGGGAACTGCGTTCTGAATAAAGAGTGCACGCTACTTCGTATTACCTGCTGTGGAAGAGACATCAAAAGTTTGCAATGCAATTGGAAAGGACAAGAAAATATTTCTGCCTATCCAGAAGAAAAGCATGGAGGAATTATTGCGTGTGGATATCGTGATCGCCTTCCCTCTGCTGGTGATGCCCATATAAATATGCAGTTTCACAAAGAAAAATACTTCATAATTTGATTTACTTTGATTCTCTATAAAATGTTTGTTTTAAACATTACTTCGTATCTAGGAAGAAGCTTAATTTGAAATACACATAAGGGAGGCTTGTTAGCCAACTATGAATTTATGTGCATCTCTGACATTTACTAAATATACTTGAAGATAAAATAAAAGCATTTGCCAGACTGAATAAACAAAGCATTAGGTTAACAAATATTTTCTGGATGGTTACGTACAAATGTTGTCTTTGCTAGAGTAGGCTTTACTCCTTCCTAATATACCCCACTAAGGGGGGATTAGAAATGCTGGTTATAGTGTTGCATCTTTTACAGAAATATAAAATACCAAAGCAGAATGCATTAGGAGGAGGACAACTGGCATGGGTTCTTCATGATTTCTTCTGGTGAGAGCATAAGAGCAGACTACAGGCAACCTCTTTCTGGGGCTACGTGGACCAGCTGAGTGATTTGTACAAGCAGTCTGTAGAAGAAGTTGTTTGGTTTAAATAAAATAAACCAAAAACTTTCCTGAGGTATGTAGTGACCAAAAGCTGGATAGGAGCTGTAATGAAAGTAATACTTCAGGAGATATTTTTGACAAACGTCTATAATCAGAAAGCTTTAAAGGCTGGCTTTTTTAATGTTTTTTTTTCCCCAGTGATGTAAGGAGTAGCACGTTATAGGTCTTCCATTTACTATAAATGCTTATGAGAGAGTTGATTATTTTCCTTAACCAGTTTTCTTATCACTGCTAGTTTGGAGGTATTTCCCCAAACAGCAGGCACTGAACACTTCCCCTGCTCCATCCTAGGGGGAGTGTTGTTGCCGTCTTTTGAATTCTCAGAGGTTTGCCAAGTCGGGATGTCACTGCTTTTTTAGCCATCCCTAAAGATGCTGGGAGGAATGTAACGGAACACTAAGTAACTCTAGAATGTCTCCTGTGCAGCATAGTTATCTGACAAGCTATTAATATTTATATGGTTCTTCTAAATGGAAGACCATGCAGATTTTAAAAAGTGTCACCAGAAATTATCCAAGCAAACTATTTATTATTTGTTAACTCTGAATAATTATATTAATATATTTCAGGAAAATATTTTATTTAGAAATAGCTAAAACCAATTTGGATGCTTTGATGCTGGCTGTAAGTTTCCTGTGCATTATTCAGCATTTGCGGTAGTAGCCAAATGTACTGTAGTAGTTTTAATGGTGTAGCCATGGTTGACTAAGTGGTGCAGTGCCTCAAATACATGAGGATACGTGCTTCAAAGCTTCTCTGTAATGATTAAATCAGGTTGTGTAAAAGCCCATCAAGTTCTGTTTTGTACTTTTTTCTTAAGGGTATTGTTTTTTTGTGTGTGGTTGAAAATCACTGTAGCAGTTGGGAGTATGGGAAAGTTGGCAGCCCTTGCCTAGCTGGGATCAGAGAAATGCTTGCCTGCAAACTCCCTCATCTGCATGTGATTGAATAACCATATAGGTATGGCAGTTGGAAATAATTGGACTGCTTTTCTGGAATGCCCTATGGAAATCATAGAATCATAGACTTAGAGTGGGAAAGAACCTTAAGATCATCCAGTTCCAACCCCTTCCACTAGGCCAGGTTGCTCATGGCCACATCCAACCTAGCTTTGAAAGCTGCGAGCATTCGCAGCTTCCTTGACAGAAATGGCTTACCTCATTTAGGACCCTGTCTCTGGGAGTCATACTTTTTCCAGAAATTTTCTAGGAAATGTGTACACATTGATCATTGGCAGGTAAATATTAGACTGAACTCTTCTGATTTGGAGCACTTAATGACCGCTTGTGACATGTAGTCATGCAGTTTTAATATTTTTCTTTATTTTTTTGTCCAAAGCAATGGAGTCGTTCTTTATTGTCATCGTATCTTAGAGGTGGAAGGAATTCTTGGGAGAATATGTGACAAGTACATTAGAGTGGGGTTTTTTGTTTGTGTTTTAAGGCTAAAGGTGGTAATTTAGGGAAAGCTTAACAGCATGGGGTTGTTCTGATAGAAG